TATACTACTAATACCATATATATGCTACTTGTTTATGGTACCCTTTGCTAAGCGAACTAAATGCAATTGATTTAGGGTTAACGTTGCCCCTCCCTTTTAGATTGTAAGCCCTCAGGGGCAGGGTCCTCCTTACCATCTCGTCTTGAATTGTATTGTGATTGCAACGTCTTCCTTATATTGTAAAGCGCTGCGCAAACTGTGGGCGCAATATATAAATCCTGAATAATAATAATAATAACACAGTGGAGGGAAACTCCGGCCCTCCAGCTGCTTTAACTACAAATCCAATAACCACATCTGCCTCAGGGAGCCATGCCTGTTGCTGTCAGAGTCTTGCAATGCCTCATGGGACTTGTAGTTCCACAACAGCTGGAGGGCCGACGTTGCCCACCCTTGGGTTAACATCTACTTGAAGCGGTTGCAATCAGCGTATCATAAATTTAAATAGGAAAAATATATATATTTGTACTGCAAATGGTAGCAGAACATTGTTGTCTAAAAAAGGATCCCGTGTCATGTGACAGCGGGAGAACAATAGACACTTTAATTTATAAAAAAAGAGAGAGAGGAAGAAGAGGGGAAGAGGAGAGATACTAAATGCAATTGATTTAGGGTTAACGTTGCCCCTCCCTTTTAGATTGTAAGCCCTCAGGGGCAGGGTCCTCCTTACCATCTCGTCTTGAATTGTATTGTGATTGCAACGTCTTCCTTATATTGTAAAGCGCTGCGCAAACTGTGGGCGCAATATATAAATCCTGAATAATAATAATAATAACACAGTGGAGGGAAACTCCGGCCCTCCAGCTGCTTTAACTACAAATCCAATAACCACATCTGCCTCAGGGAGCCATGCCTGTTGCTGTCAGAGTCTTGCAATGCCTCATGGGACTTGTAGTTCCACAACAGCTGGAGGGCCGACGTTGCCCACCCTTGGGTTAACATCTACTTGAAGCGGTTGCAATCAGCGTATCATAAATTTAAATAGGAAAAATATATATATTTGTACTGCAAATGGTAGCAGAACATTGTTGTCTAAAAAAGGATCCCGTGTCATGTGACAGCGGGAGAACAATAGACACTTTAATTTATAAAAAAAGAGAGAGAGGAAGAAGAGGGGAAGAGGAGAGAAAGAGAGAGAGGAAGAAGAGGGGAAGAGGAGAGAAAGAGAGGGAAGCCGCTGTACCAAAAACTCTTACCCCACCCCCACCGCCAAGGGCAAGATCAGACTTGTAGCCCCAATGAATTAAAATGCTCTGGAAATGTTTCGGTTTCCCTGGTGCTGTCTCTCTTTTTGTATTCTTTGTAACAGGGCCAGGACATAAAAGTGATGAAAGCAGATACAATGTAACGTCACCTCTTGTAGAAGATGCTCCAGGAAGCCTCTCCCCTCAAAATAAATATTATAAAGATTTCATTGGCAGAGTTGCCATTGTTACAACATTGTAACACCTCACAAAAAACCCTCAAAGCTCTAACAGTGCCCACCTGACACCAGCCCAAACCCTGCAGGGACCAGCCAGGGTTTAGTCAGTGATTCTGATTTTGAGAATTAAAGGAGAGATCCACGCTGCCAGAGAGTTTGTAAGCAGGAAAGAGAAAAGAATTCATCCATTTATAGAAGACATACACACCTGAATGGGTGACAGGCGACCGCACAGAGAGTGAGGAGACGTACCTGTGTGTCAGGTGTGGCCGGCTGACAGCAGAGTAGAGCTGCGCCGTGCGCCTGTACTGTACTCCCCCGGCAGGCCGACCTTTGTCCCTGGATCTGCTGGGCTGAATTGGAAGCTGCATTTGCCATATAAGGCCATGCGCTCAGCTGTGTCACCTGCCTGACGCTCCCTTGTGTCTTCCATGCTAATTGGACTCAATTAATGCTATTTTATTACATCTGCTCACTTTTCTCTCCCTAACCTGTGCAGCTGTAGAATGCTGCTCCAGGCGCTAAAAGCCATTTCTCGAGATGGAAAAACCAAGGTTGTGCCGTGCGTTGGCGGCGGCCTGCTCACGCATACTTGCAAGGGCCCCTAAAATGTCCACATTGACCAGATGTATCATAGAAACATGTTTGCATGCATGCTGGTAATGTAACAGCAATACCTTGGTAAGGGTCAGTCCACCTAAGGTCTCCTTTTAGATGGGCGACTGAGGGGCGGTAACATCAGATACGCGTTTTACCTTTCCCCAAAACCATATAAAACTGGCATTGAAGTGTCCAAACCCCTTTAGACCCCCAGATAGTCAAAAGTAATATGTTGGCGCTCTGCATGATCGTGTAAGCATGCCTTGATCTATGTTGGCGCTCTGCATGATCGTGTAAGCATGCCTTGATCTATGTTGGCGCTCTGCATGATCGTGTAAGCATGCCTTGATCTATGTTGGCGCTATGCATGATCATGTAAGCATGCATTGATCTATGTTGGTGCTCTGTATGACCATGTAAGCATGACCAAATTAGGGATGCACCGATACCGATACTAGTATCGGTGCCGAAACCGATTATTTGGGCAGAGTACTTGTACTCGCTCAAATACTCAGATTCCTTCCCTGATACCAGAACCTCTGGTCAGAGGAAGATTTCCTTCCTCTGACTGGCGGTGCCGGGCAATAAGGAAGCCGGGCTGCGAGTAATGACCTGCCTCCCGGCTTCCTGCACTCTGCAGGAGCTAAGTCAATCCTGCAGATTACACAGGGAGATCGCAGCTCCCCCGTATAACCAGCAGCACTCCACTGTGAGCGTGATTGCTGCCTGTTCTGTATCCGAAGCTCTGTGCGCTCCTCATAAACAGACAGCGTCCGGCTGTCACAGAGCTCCGATGATTAAACAGGGAGAACCGCATTTTCCCAGGTAGTACTCGTATCTTCTTTTAAATAAAGCAGCTCAGACCTCATTTCCAAAACACATTGTAGCTTTGAGAAGAACAGAAATACCCGACGGGTCAGCAAATGGCAACATAATTGTGACGACATGGTCATCAGTTTATGGGTTATATGTGTGTTGGTGTTGAGTTATGTTATATTATGTTATACTGTGTAACATGTTCATCAAAAGACTGTCAGCAAGATGACCACTATGGACTAAGATGACCAGTACAGAACTAAAATGATCAGGCCCCCCACCCCCACCCCCCCA